AAGCAGCGATGCTATGCATCGAAGGCTCCCCTCCCCCGAAAATACATTGGCGGAGTCCCTTTAGAACGTGGCAGCCATGCCACAGCTAGAGTGATAGACAATCTGAACCCGGCGATATCGCTTATCTACGGTATGGAGTTGCCGAAACCAAAGTGGACGCTAGGGACTACGGTCATACATGACTCAGTAAGCTGGGTTTAACTTTGACTTTCAAACCTCACTTCTGCCGAAAGTAAACTCATTCAGGAATGTATCTTAATCAACAATTCTCGAGATAGCTTCAGCCACCTCTGTGGTTAAGGCACCAGCTTATGGACCACAAAGTCCATCGTCCGAACCCAACCTCAGCATCTTGATCGTTCCTGTCTAAGCTTTGGCAACCTGACATTATCCCAGCCCTCGTGCACCCGTAGCATAGCTGCTAGGCGCTGAAAGGATGCCACGGCTGAACAGCTTTTTATTCAGCGATTCCCTAAGTAAGCAGTTCAGTGCTGCACCACCTTGTGCAGTAAAACAATGTTACAAGTTCGTTTTTCAACTTGAGCAGGATTTGTTTCTGATAAATTAGCTGAAGTGCTTTACTGGTGTGGTTTCAATCAAGGTGTTTACTGTAGTAAAACCGACCATTGCGATGATACGATAGCTCAGAAATGGCTGTTCCAGAGGAACGTACGCCGCAACCGATATTGCAAACCGGCGTACATCCGTGAGTTCATTCCTTGATTTAACAGTAGGAGTGTAATTTGCAACTAACATGACCGTGATATTGTTAGCAAAGGGTTGAACCGAGCCAAAGGCGGTCACCACATAAGCTAGATCCAACAAAGTTGGTCCTACGGAAGAAGCCGAAGCAACTATGGGTAAACCAGGCAGGTTGCTCATTGTAAGCTTCTGAGTTACTCTTAGGAAACAGCAACACCTTCACTTTCATTCGAAAGACTTTCGGGTTGATCCGAAATGAAAACATCCCAGCTACTTCCTACTAATAAAACACCACATGGTGGCAACTGTCTCGTTCATTTTTCATTTGAGTTCAGGAATTGCCTCTGAGAGATGTTTTGGATGCGACAACAGCAAGTGAATTGCACGTTTGGACTACTCAACAGTTAAACAGTACTTTAACCAGAACAATGTGTTTAACAAGAAAACGCTTAGCGGTTACTCAGTAATCTGCTTTTCCAACGGAAGCGCTGGTTGCCAAACGTTGACTGTGGCACCTGGAAAATGCTGCAGCCACGCGTCCGACGATGACAAAAATTGGCACGTTGGGATATAACAAGCGAAACTTCCGCCATCCGTAATACTTGATGCGAGAACAGGCAGATAGGTCCATAGTCTGATTTCTTTTACGTACGCACCGAGTTCATACTAACCCTAACCACATACCAACAGCAAGTAACACGTACAAAGGATGCTCACCATATGATGATGATCATAGCTGAATTCCTCTGAGCCAATTATCCTCCTAGTCAGGCATTACCACGGCTTCACCGAGTACGAACGTGCAGGTACTCCGGAGGAAACAACTACCACATTTATCCGTAATCCGAAGAACGGTATGCCGCTACACCAAGACCACTTCAAGCAGGGATATTGCCGGTCTGTGTACACGTCATGGCGATGAGCTAGCAAAAAATGTCCAGGACGACAAAACCAGGGCTACCTAAAGACGTGCACCATATGAACACGCTCCACAGATGCTCAGTTAACGGTACGTTAACACCAGAAGCACCGATGAAAGCGAGCATTTGACTGAAGCACTGAAAAACCAAAACCAAAGATGAAAAAGCGCGAAACTAAATGACCAACGCTGCACATGCAAATGCGGGATCCGAGAGCGAGTCCCTGGTATAAGCTCGCAGGAATATTTTATCCTTCGTACACTATTAACAGACAGTGCTGATATACTGAAACCTAGCAAAATCATTTTGACAAAATACTGTCTAGATCGTATGCCCAAACAACAAATCGGCCAGGTAACAAGAAAGTTAAATTTTCAATCAGGACATAACGATGGAACAAGAACATCTTTGTCACCAAAATTTACGTCCTTGGTTACCTCGCTGAAGGCTGTAAGCCCATAAATATGCTACAAAAAAGAACCGTTCTAACCGAGTGCGCCTATTGTGGAATGAAATTGCAGAAAAGGGAACTTATGATGTGGCCTCACAGTTGACCGGGAAAAATAGACAGCTGCTGATGGGTGACGAGTGAGTGATGCAGTTTGCTTGCTCTACCCGTCGGTTACGACCAGGTCTCGATTAAATTGAAGTCGGCCTTCAATATTTTTCATGAAACACATGCTTTTAGCAAATATGCTGAAAAGGTTCAACTCCCCTCTGACCTGTCTGGCATGGTTGCGCCTTGTGGAAAAAAATTCCAGTCGATGCAGCTCGTGGAATCACTGGAGCACTCAAGCCCGGACACCATGTAAAGTGGCAGCTTTAGGTCGGGGGTCACGAATTGCTTGATTCCACCAGTACGCATATTTACGTTTCAAAAATTTGTGCTTAAGTGTGGAGATTTCACCGTGATTTGAATGAGATTTCGAATGAAAACGATATTGTAAGGATGTGGTGTACGGGAGTGAAGCATCAGTGTCAACACCGATGTTGCTGTCTTCGATGATTGATGACGATGATGGTTGATGATGAAGATGTGGATGCAATGATGATGATGATGAAGGTGATGACGATTATGGTGATGATAATGTTCGCTGACAGTACAAACAGCTCAGGTATGTAGTAGCTGAAGGCCTGCCACTAACTGTGAACATCATGACCAGTCAGATTCAAGGTACGGCAGTGGGCATAATAATTCCAAACATATCGAACTACGAATGTCTGTCCACGATCCATGAATGAAAATAGACAAGGTAGAGGACTATGCACGTGAAGTGAGAACTGTGATAAGGATATGCGTCATCTCCGGCTTATATCAAATTTTACAATTTGCTGTCACCTTACCAAAGCGATTAGCATTACACTTGATGTTGTTCGAAAAGAAGCGGAAATTCAATCTGTTTATGACTTGATAGTGTTGAGATAGTGTTCCGCCGTTTCGTTTGATAGCTGGAGTTGCTGATTGGAGCATTGTATAACATAGTATAGTTTTGTCACAGAGGATCACTGTCAGATAGAAAGGGTCGAAATACGGAAGACTGTTACAGCCATCGCAGTGCTACCAGCATCACCACCACAAACAAAGTCGCATAGAAATCAATCTGCCACAGATCGATTCAACGAACGTAACTCAAAACATCAGATCCCGTTTGCTAAGTTGAAAAATCTACGGCATACCCGCGGATCGAAAAAAAATGTGTCAGACTACAATGCGGGTTTTAAGACGTGGTCTCTGCAAGCAAAAGAGCTTGGATGTGTTTGGGTCTTCGACGGCCTATGCCTCAGATCCACAGATCATGTAGGCTCGCATCAGTGAGTCTGCAACGAGACAACCATGAAACGAAGGTCGGGTTATGTAACACAAACCTCGATCGAACAATGGGTCCCGTACCGAAAACTTCTGGTTATGGGATGAGCAATCTGAATCATCGTTTGTCGAAAAGAGCACTGCCCTCCGTGTCCAGCTCAGTGTAGCGCAAGCAAAAAGGCAGTCACCCTTTCACCTGGCAAAAAATTATGAAAATGATTACAAAAAGCCTGAGTACTATTGTTGCGACTCGCGTTCCAGGACAGAATCCGCACGAATCCCCTAATGAATGTTTAGAAACGCTTCGCAGTACGGCCTCTAATCCGGGTCAATGGCATTCTTGTTGTCAGTGTCCATCTATATGCGGGTATGAAGATGTAGGCACATCGAAATGATTGTGGTAAGCTAACGTCAGGCCCCATTTATTGTCCTTTTCTACGTAATAAAGTTTTTAAATAAGCTACTGTTGCATGTCGGAGAAAGATTAGTATCGGGCGCTAATAGTGCGCTATCGATTATGGTGATAAAGCTTCGGCAACATCTCAGTAGGTTATCTCTCACCACCCTTCTAATTGCATATAAAAAGGCTTGACAGCTGAATGTTTTTTTTTGGGGGGGGAATGGTGTACACTACACTTGATCCTCCCCGTAGAGTGAATCTAGGCCAACTTACAACCATTTTAGTGGCTTCCGGGTCTCTTGGACCACCTGACTAGTCGTCCTAAGTAACAGCCTATCTCATTGAAAACATGTTTAAAGAGTGCGCTTCATCGCACGTGAATGAACACTTCATATGAAACGCGAATGCTTTCGGATCAACGCACCGCCCTAGGTGAGTTATGTGGTTCTCAGTGCACTCAACGGGAAGCCCCACGTCACAGACATTAGCGGTGATCTAGACAATGACACCCTCATTGACAGCGATAGACTTCAAAGAATCCCTTCCGACCAAACACGACCCAATGTGCTATCTTCTGGCTATGGCCAACACACCCGAATGAAGCTAAATACATTCATTACTTGTGGTACGATAGTTGTTTTCGTTTTCTACTGTAGAATCACTTTACTGTTGGTGGAGCGAAAAACATCCAAGTATTCAGCAGTTAAGGGCAACTTAACTTATACCACCCAAGGCGACCCGGATGAAGACGAGGTGACAGTGAGTATAACGACGATGAACAAAACACCACTAGGGTGGAAATGTTGCAACGAAATTCAAGGTCACCTGATAATTTTGGGAGCGCGCTTACTATTTCAGCTCTTAACACAGTGCTTAAAGAAGCATGCGAAAGGCACTGTAATGATTTACAGCGTTCCTGACTAACCGTAATCTATGCCTACCTGACTAGCGAATAATACCATGTAGAATTGATAGAACGAACGCTATGGAGTGTACACAGTTCCTATTTTCAATGCAGATGCACTAATGTAGAATGGGATGTAGTGAGGATTAGTATGATGTATGGCACAAAGATGACCCAGAGGTTACGATGTAAAGATATTCGATGGAATATCCTTATACTCTACGTAAATCAAACTGGATTCCCCAACAGCCCAAAGAGCTGGTTTCTCTAAGTTTCAAACCGCTCAGCTGTAGCATCCTTTCGGTGCCTAGCTACCATGCCACCCCAAGGTGGCACGAGGGCTGGGATACTGCCAGGTTGCCCAAGCCTGGACAGGAAAAGTCGAGAGACAGAGGTCGGGTTCGAACCACGGACCTTCCGGTCAGTGAATTCGCGCTGTAACCACTTGGACCATCTCACCCCTTCGCTAAGTTTGGGACCCACTAGACGAGCAAAGTATTAGGAAGAAGAAATCAACCCTTAAATTGAACAACTTTCCGTAAGCTTGGACTGCTTTCTCGCCTGCACACAGCGTGCTCTCTGTCCACTCGACAATTCAACTTACAATATGGCCTTATACAACGTCCATTGTCAAAACCTTCGGGTACGTTTATTGATTCTATGTAGCCCGCTTGGCGAATATACTTCATACAGTTACTTCGGCCTGTGTACATTCTTTCCAGACACTACAAACAGGAACTAACCAAAATGTAATTTTTGGGGGGCTCGGTGATGGTCCCAAGTTCCGCGGCCTACGCCTACCTGAGGAGGCTCAATCAGGAAACAAGTAATGGGATATTCGTGGATCTTAAACAATCCTTTTATACTATCTACCGAGACACCAAGAATGTTTGCTTAAACAGCTTCAGTGCTTAATTCCAAATCGACCTATCCTGCACTTTATGTGAAAGAATATAAAGAATCTCTGCGAGACCGAGGGTGTACAAAACAAGTAAAGCCAAGTCACAAATTACACAAGAGGGAATTTGAAGACTTTATTGCCACATTTGCACATTATGCTATCAACACACACAGAAAGGTCATCACAATTCATTTGTACAGCTTGCTGGAACAAAGACTGAAATAAATAGACAATAACTCGAACTGCTTACTTCCATCCGGTTAAGGTCCAGTTCTTTCAATTTGCACTCCAAATCACCGTTACACCAGAGGAGGCTGGCATGAAAGCGCGGATCCTAGCGCATAATTAATGCACGAATCAGCGCTGTGCCTACTTTATAATACCGTGGACCACAGAAGGCATGAACACATTGATCAACCGAGGCGACAATGGGTTTTAGGTGCTCTGACGACTCTCGACTGAGAATCAAACCAATAAAAGATCTATCATTGGGTTATATAGATGAAAAACAGTACCTTGAGCGCTCCCCGTTAATGAAGAGTTCTAGGCCACTAAAACGAATATCAAACCTTATAAAAATTAACGGCACTATTGTCACCACATACCTCGAAAGGTTCTGAAATGTGTTTCTAAGTTTGTCTGCTAGGCTGTCGATCCAATGATACCGGAGAGGCCACGTCTTAGAGAGACTAACGTGCACGTCGTCCACAGAATGCAAACACTGCCACAAAGGATGTTCACTGAGATGAAGCGCAGATACGAACTGCTTTAGAACTGCACCAAGTATTGCGGAACCTTAAGATGAGATAATTAACAAATGGAACCCCACACAGTCAATGTAGACACATGAGGCCCATTGTCCAACTTCGTGAGCGAAAGAACGACGGCGCAGCTGATGCATAGTAGGGTCATCTTCATGTGCCTCAAACCGGATGGAATCAGCTTCCAATCCTTGAAAAAAAGTAGGCAATTCCAATTTCTCTGTGTTTTCAGAAATGTCTTCAGGTTCGTCGTCACTGGAAGAATAAGTTACAAGTGCCATGTAGAAGCTGCACATGCTGAAGAAGGATCAAACACAAATTAGCGCTTAGGTCGTAATTGTCTGTGTCGAAATTGCCATTTCGAACTCTCAACATGTCAAGGCTGAAAAAGGCACACTTTCGATAACATTGTACTATGTTCCTTTGCTTGAATGACCAAATAAGCAGGACAGCAGACAGCCAACTGTGATAGTTCACATGCCGACCTCGACCTGAAGGTGTCACCTTGTGGCAGTTATCCTCGTCCGGTGGTGCAGTGATCCTGTGGGTGGGATTGGTTCCTTAAGCTTCAATCATATTACCAAGGTTATAATGGAGGGCAGCCGCAAGAAAAGCGAGTCCCGCTATCGCGAGAAAGCGTATTATGACGCGGCCTGGAGGTAAACTTGTGCTCTGGGATAGGAGTATCAAGGCGTAGGTAAAGAATTTTCTTTCTACCCACACGTTCCCCATCCGTCTTTCAGATAAATTTAGCTATGGACTACTCAACTGGTGCTCCGTATCACAGCTGCTGTCCAATAAAGTAAATCGATATTCAAGAAGCATTTTGTACATTGCTGTTTTCAACGTCCATACTGTGTGAAAGTTGGTGACAGATAGTTCTTGAACAGAACTTGTTTCGACCACCCTACGCTGCCTTCGAAACATGCACACAAGACCACAGTTCAGTCACACACCTAAACCCCTCGGAACGAACCAACACTTCTCGCACTTTACTCTTCGGGTATCGGGTGATACTGATGCAATGACATGTCCCATCTACGATGAGAGTTGTGCTTAGCTCCAGAATTGAATGCGTTTGCTGGAAAAGATCTCTGTAAATAGTTGTTTTTGTGCTGTTAAGTTGACTCCGTCAATTGCAACCAGCATTTTCCGACGTGGCGGTATTTATTTGCTGTCGGCACACCCTCCGAAAGACTGCAATTCTGAGGCTGAGAAAGACAGTCGCTATCGAAATTTGTCAAGCTTGCTTCTTAGTCGGAAGTACAGATAGCGTAATTCTGGCGAGGGATGTGAATGCCCGGGTCGACTCATTAGGTCCTGGGAAAGCAATCTTGACGGCCGATTAGGGTCTAACGGTCCCCACAGAGATAACGCGGGGAGATTTCTCCATTTATGTGCTGAAATTTCAGTACGAGACCCCACGTCTTATCTGGAAGCCTCTAGCTTCAAACCAGCCATGGACTCATTTGGGCTGTGTGGCAATGAGTTATGGTGGAGAGCTTCGATACAAAATTGCCGTCTATTTCGGAGTATACCAGCGGGCTCCGACAACGGATTTTTGCAGGCATGCGCACCTATTCGCTTTCCCTCAGAAACACGTCGGTTGATGTAAAAGCATTCAGGTCACTACCATAAAAGCTTCCGATTACTTTGTACGTAGCCAATTCAGTTGGCTAACAAGCCTCTAGAACTGGACGAGCACAATGGTGGAAACAGTCACTTGGAAGACGACTGAAGAAAAGTAAAAGCCATGCTCACAACCATTGGAAGTGTCTGCCTGAGGTTACTGGTACACCCAAATGAACACGGGATCTCGTCAGAATATGCAGTCCAGATTGAACTACGAAAGACGCACCAGTAATAAACGATTAGTACTTATTGCGGACGGACCCTGTGCTCTTCAACAATCTCATCACCATCATCATCATCGTCGACAGCATGACATCAGCGTTCAACACCGATGCTTCGCTACCGTACAACCATTATTTAATTGAAAGCCTTATTGAGAAGAAAGGAATAAAGATGGACGGGGAAGGGACATAGTGCCGGCTTCCTACAATCATTCCGACATGGCTACCCCTCCAGAGACTGATTCAAGCAGTCTGGATAAAAATCAACAAGATCGCCACTGACATCGGTTGGCAGCTATATTTAGCAGCGTTTCCAACCAGGCGCAGTAAGGATCACGTGGTCTCCACCCTGGAAGGCGAGTGGCACCGACAGCACCCAAACGTTTCGTGGATTATTTTATACACCTCTGCCAGCTTAAAGGTTGGTCACCTCTCTGCTTCTGCCAATCTGAGTTGGGCATGGAAAACAGCACTCTCTTCGGCAAACGATGGCTAGGCATATGCAATACATTATTGAGAAGAAGGAATAAAGATGGACGGGGAAGGGACATAGTGCCGGCTTCCTACAATCATTCCGACATGGCTACCCCTCCAGAGACTGATTCAAGCAGTCTGGATAAAAATCAACAAGATCGCCACTGACATCGGTTGGCAGCTATATTTAGCAGCGTTTCCAACCAGGCGCAGTAAGGATCACGTGGTCTCCACCCTGGAAGGCGAGTGGCACCGACAGCACCCAAACGTTTCGTGGATTATTTTATACACCTCTGCCAGCTTAAAGGTTGGTCACCTCTCTGCTTCTGCCAATCTGAGTTGGGCATGGAAAACAGCACTCTCTTCGGCAAACGATGGCTAGGCATATGCAATACATGTTCCAACCAACAAAGCTTCTGGTGCTGGACACATTCTTCAATGGAAGTAGGTGTTGCACAACAGAAAACTAGCTTTCTAAATTCCTCGTTAGGCATCCGCCGACACCAACCCCCACGAACTATGGTTCTGAGACAACGACTGTCGTACACCTGAAGACGTCTTAGTTCCGCTGCCCGAACAAGCCAAGTCTCACAGCCATACAACAAAACAGTCCGCACTGATAGCTTGATGCACATGTTCCTCGATATTCAAGGATACACCACTCTGACGTCATAGGTGTCTCAAATGAGCAAACGCAACCCAAGCCTTGCAGATTCGTGCACTGACCTCATCCGTCACATTACAGTTGGAACCAATACAACGCTCCACAACTTCAAGTGCTTCCCCTGCATTGTAAGTGGCACGTTCAGTAATTGCACGTGCAGGAGCATGACCTTAAATTTTGTGGGTGCAAAGTGCATACCAAAGGAGGGGATGGCTTCGGTCAGTTTGTCCAGAAACATTTGTGCCCTGACCTCCCCTTAGAAAATAAGAACGATGTCGTCTGCATATTTCAGATCGACAAGGTTTTCGTTACAAGCTATTTGAAGACTAGGGTTTTGGAGACCTACCAGCATTCGTCTTTTGATTTCATGGATCACAAAGTTAAAAAGGAATGGAGAGAGTGGGCATCCCTAACGGACACCGCTTTGTGTACGGAAGCTTTTGGAGAGCTCTCCGTACACTCTCACACGTCCGGAAGTCTGAGAATACAAAGAACGTATTATGTTTACAAACCTCTGGGGCATTTCTTGGTGGGCAAGCGTCTCAAGAGGAACAGACCGGTCAACCGAGTCGAATGCGCCTCGGAAATCCAGGAATACTAGAATCGTGGGTCGCTTATACGTATGGCGTTGTTCTAGCACCTGACGCAGTGTGAAGATTTGGTCAACACAACCCCTACCAGGCCGGAATCCCGCTTGCTGCTCGCGAGTCAGCATCTCACGAGCCACCGTAAGGCGACGAAGCACAATTGACACCAACAGTCTCGTTACAACCGGGGTCAAGCTGATCCCCCTGTGGTTACCACACTCACTACGCTCCCCACTTGTCTGGGACAGACTCCTTTTCCCAAATGCAAGCAAACAGATCGGACAAGCACTGACTGAGGACTTCGCCGCCGTCTTTGAACAGTGCGGGTGGGAGGTCATCCGGACCGGGAGCTCAGTGGCGCTTGAGAGAACATACGCAATCGTAAACCTCCGAGGCGGTAGGTGGTTCAAAGCTCACTGTCCAGGGTTCTACTTCACCCCTAGGCTCTAGATGAGTGTCGGCTGGTGGCCACGACAGTTGTTGTTCGAAGTATTCGGCTCACCGGTCGAGGCGTTCTTCTTCGTTCGAGATGGTCGTTCCATCCTGATATTTGGTGGTTTCACTCACAGGTGCTTTCCGGGGACCGGTCGCACGGATCAACTGAAATAATAATCTCCGGGCATTACCGGCTTTCTGGGCCTCTTCCATTTCTTTGGCTTTCTGTGTCCACCATACTTCACGGTCGGATCGCAA